TTACGCATGCTACTACTCGCGGACGAGCCTCTATAGACGCTACGCTTCGAAACTTTCGAAGGATCCACAGGTTTAGGAGGGAGTGGAGTCCCTTCAATATGGTCTGGAAATTCGTCAGCGTAATTTATGAGTCCTCCCGTGAGTACGTAAACATTGTCAAAACCTCGTTGCACTAGCGTATGCGCAGTCTGCGCAACAGTACTATCGTCCAAATCATAAAGAACGATAAGTTTAGCCTCTTGGTTTTTGAATTGGTGCATTTCAGGCAACAGAACGTCTCGATTCAAATATGATGCAGGGTAGCTTTTTGAACGATAAATACGATTGTTAGCAAACTCCTCTTTCGAGCGAGTGTCGAGAACAAGATAAGGTGCTTCGTATTCCTCCTTTTCATCAGCTTCATAAGTCACGATTCGAGGACCGAGTATTTCGTTATTATTATCACTGGCAGGCACACGCTTTATTGCAAGCTCACCATTACCATTTTCAACCATTTGCGCAACCATTTCAGGCTGACTAGCACTTCCAGTATCTTCATACTCGTTGAACAGCTCAGCGAGACAACTACACGTAATGCGACGAAAGGTTTCGTCTCGACGCTTAAGAAACTCTTTGTGAGCTGACAAGACAAAGACATGATAGTGAGATGCACTTTACAAGACTGAATATACTAATGTTCAAATAAAACGCACAAAGTAGACGAACTTTATTGACCGTAGAACCCGAGTCGATCTTGCTCTGTGTATTCTTGTACTTTGGATTTTGTGGAATTCTCTTTTCCATAATCTAAAATACTTAAGTTAGGAGAAACAACTGACATAACTATACCAATCATAACCTACGGAAAGTGGTGCCTTGGACTTGGCGCGATGCATCTTGTCTCAGCGATGCAATGGCGTCTTGTTGGAGTGAAGTAGACAATGACGCCTTGTGGGGTTGAAACGACAAATTTATTTTAAATTTATTGACTTTTACTTCAATAATGTACGAATACTCGACGATAGTACCCTACAGCTACTACTTTTATCAGATTTTTTGCCGTTTCTTAGCGCCAAAATCGTCTTAAGCAGCGATTAGCCAAGTCATCTCTTTCACACAACATGTAGAATTCTTGACTAGATCTCATCATGAGAATATTTATAAAGTTATTGACTGCTATCGTAGGTTGCCTTTGTCGTCCCTTTATTGATTGTTTGCCTCGCTGAGCTGAAGATATTTCTCAAAGGCAAATATGCCATCAGGTGTAAACTCTTTGCGACGGGCAAGAATTTCGTCCGCAGTCAATGTGAAGACCTCATCAACTTCTTCCTTTTGGAGCACAAGTGGACCGTCGAATATACAATCAAAAAGTCCACCCCAAACACGACTGTGATCATTTTCGTAGTAAAAATTCGTCAAGTGCCGCAGCGGTGTGTTTTTCACGCCCATTTCCTCTTCAGCTTCACGCTTGGCATTGACTTCCATTGACTCTCCATATTGTACAACTCCACCGGCCATCGGATCCAGCATCCCTGGACAGTAGTCCTTGATCATGGTGCGACGCTGCACATAGTATTTGCCACTAAGATGCCAAACACACAATCAATATGAAGTTATTTTGTGCATTTGCTTTTGAATCACTCGTACGCTGTATTCTTGATAACAACGTATGATGCTCGGTGTGGTAGATTATATGCCCGCTATAACGGGTGGAAAAGCAGCAGTAAAGATGTGTGTGCATCGATTAGAGCATAATTATAACTTACCATGACGGCACGATCGGCCATGCCAATTACATTATTCTGCCCATCGACAATGCAAACCTATAAGGATAGCGACATGTGATATCAGCTGGATAAACGAAGAATTTTAGTAAAATCTCGCACCTTCTCCTTGGAATTCAGCGCCATAGCTATTCAACAAATTTGTAATTTTCAATTAAAGCAATATAGATTTTGGTTTATGTGGTCTACACAGTTTGTAATTTAGCCGGAGACTTAAGCTAATTGGACGCTTTTCCTCGTCTTGCGAATTTAGTCAGTGGCGGGTTGTGTAGACTTGATATAATTTCCCATGGGTTAACTAACCGTCATAATCTTCTTGTAAATCTGAAATCCATATCGGTAAATAACAGTCACGACAAATTCTTGCATGCTCGTAATTTAATTGAGCAATGTCAATAAATCGGTAAAAGTGTAAGCCGTTATTAAATGTGCTGGCAAGCTTTTTTGACTTTACCTCGCCATCCTAAGTTAGGTCCATAAAATTACAGTGCGACTATGCCTGACGTTTACTTTTCAAGTTGATAGACTTAATGTTGCAGTGCTATTCATAGGATTGCAATATTCGAAATATTCGTCATGTTTTCTGCGAAGAAGATACACAATATAATCTGATGGTAAATTTAGAGACAATCATTATTCTTCATCCACAGCCTCGTTAGATTTTTAAACATGTCAATGATCCAGTTTTGGACAATTTACTTGCTTAGTCTTTTTTAATTCTCGGTAATTTTCGCTTCCTGAAAATTCTGATGTAGACAAACAAGGCGGATGTCATTCTTTTTTTAGCACTTTTAATCCGTTTCGCAACGATAAATCTGAACACCTTTATGCTAAAAGGCACGAACGTATCACCCATTCATGCGACTTTTGTTCAATCGGTTCGTAAATATTCAGCTTGATGGTCCTGACCGGCTAAAATTCGCTAGGGCTCAAAAATTACATGAAGACGAAACACTGGCTTGGTCAAAAAGTATCGGTACGATTAGCCGCAGTAGCGCCTCATCCTTACCCCTCCAGTCTCAATAATGTCTGTTCTACTTGGACTCACATACAAAGACAAAATATAGCAAGGAACTCTCTCGCTCCGACGTCGGACAATTTACATCAAGAATCACATGTGTTTAAATTGGTTCCGATCGAGAAACTTCCAGAATTTAATGCAAACAAAACATTGAAAACCATGCTATTTGATAAGGATCAAATACGAAGTATCAATACTTTTAGACGGCAATGGCGACATGTCATTGCTTTCATGTTACATCTTGGTAATTTGCTCATGCTATTTACTGTTGCTGCTCCTCGTCAATTTGGGCGCTTAATGGCATTTCTAGTCCTGATCTTACACTTACCAGAAATGCTGCTTATCATCGGCTCAATACGCATCGAAATGCTATATTTTCTTTTGAAAACGTATGATTTCTGGTATTTTACCGTGAATAATGTTGCGTTTGGGATATGTTTCTCTGTATTGCTTAGTGACAGTCGTATCGTAGCGATCTTGGTTGGTTGTGTGATCGTACAAATCAGCATTAGTGCTGATGCACTTGTAAGCGATAGCCGTCAGCTTTTCTTATCCAGTGTCACTAATTGTGGAACACATTTTGCAATGTTCTTGATTGTGTTCTTACGACGAGTGGATGATGATGGAAATGTAGACGCTTTCTTCGTTTCGTATTCAAACAAACTCACTGGAGTTTCAATTCGTGATATTCTTATGAATGCACAGTTCAATATGACTTTATTGTTTGGACGACTTGTTTACAATAATTGGATTGCAATGCGAGAACAACTCTCGGCAATAGAAAGCTGTGCCAAATCTCAGACTAACGCTCTTCCAAGCCGTCGACGCTGTGTTAGCTATTACTGCACGGTTGGACTGCAAACGAAATGTAACTCAAATAGCGTTCAACAAGGATGGACAGGCTCTGATCATCAAAATATCGAAATGAATTCTCGGGTGGGAAGTGTAGTTGGCGTTGAGTCATACGAAAACATGTCAAGTGCCATCCCAGGACTTCCATCTGAGCCATTAAACGGCAAATCTAGGAAGTTAACAATGCCAAAAGGAAGATTTTCCCTCACACAGAATTGTATTGGTATGCAAATTCAGCTCCACTTTGTACCAGTTGCGGCAGATTTTGATGCTCATGAAACGCTGATGCCAGGATTTGGTAGCTTTCTTGATCGAAATTTTGGATCGCTCCCATTAAATACAAGACAACGCATGTTGTTACACATCTTTCATATCTTGGGCTACTTTGGTATATGTACATTGGTGTTGGGAGCTCTATCTGCGTGGATATTAGACGATCAAGACCTTGATCAGATCCATCCAGGTCTTGCACAGACTCAATTGATTGCGTTCTTTGTATCGGTTTTCTTTTGTTCGGTCTTTTTTGCAGCTTACCAGCGACAACTTCTCCGGAAATTGTTTTCGTCTTTTAATTCCCTCTTTCTCTCTGCTAAACTGACGACTGTATCGCTAATGCTTTGTCAGTTCCTGAAATGGGATCGGAGAGTGTTGTGGGTCTGGAGTGCATGGCTATGGATGCAGTGGGCGATTACGCTTGATGCTTTACCTCCAAGTTCCATGCGTCTTTTGGCTTTTCAACGTTCTTTTCTTGTGTTGTATGTGCTCAGTTTTGAACTCTTTGGTCTGTGTTGCTTGGTTTTGGAACTTGTTGCTATAAACCGTTGGATCGTGCCCAACATTGCCTTAGTAAATTATGAAATCTTTGGACGTCACTTACATTTGAGTGCACTTTCGACGTTAGTTTCTCGACTATTGACAATATTTATTTGGGAATGCAGGTTATTGTGGTTTATTTCTTTAGCACTTTATCGTCATCGTCAGCGTCATCGTCGCGTGGTCTCTGCTGACTCAATTCAAGGTCGTGGCGATGAACGTCTGCTCTTGACTGGGCGAGTCGAGTATTTTTACGAGCTCGAAACACGCACTTGTACACTTGCCGCGAAATCAAAGTGGAGTAGAAGCTTTCACAGTCTTCGTATCCCTCGAGCGATCCAGCGGCGGCGTGCAAAAGACCATTTGCATGCAGAAGGTGTGTGAACAGAAGACAAGTGATGTCTTTGCTCGACGAATTACTTAAGATCAAGGGCTGTTCGAGCACCTTTGAGAAGGCATCAGATGTTTTGTTGCTGATTGATAAATTATTTGGATGTTTGAAGGATTGAGAGATCACTTCTGCAGCATCAGTGTACAGTAAAATAAGGTGCAGGTATATCTAACTTGACGTCCATGTATTGGATCTAAGAAAAACGTAGACGGTATCACAAAATCTTATTAGCCATAGACCACCTATAATCCATCAAGTCTGTAGCAAGCCGCTATCGGAAGACGAGGGCGGCAAGCATTCTTCGTCCGAACGCTCTGATCCGTATACTTTCCGAACAAGTCGCATCTCCTCCGCAATCACTTGTGAAGCCACAGCTGAAAACTCTTTCTTTACAGGATCGATAAAAAGTTTCTACAACAATCACCGAATGGACCGAATAATCATCAATGAAAGGATGTCTTAAATTGCTTGTACTTCAAACCTTTATCCGATCATCGAAGCGCATAACGGACTGAAATAGGTTGATGTTTTCAGAAGCGCTATTGTCTTCAACAAGCTTGCTGTAAATTAGCGCTAAAATATCGCACAACGAAAGTAAGACTTCCCGGTAGTCCAAAGGGAATGGCTAGAAGGCATCCACAACACCACATGCGATCAGCACACTGAAGAATCAGCTATTACGTAAGATTAAGTACTATACAATCGGAGGTGTGGTCAGTCGTCGAAAGACCGGTCGCTGGTTCCACTTGTGCATTATTGGCTTAAAAGGCTCATCAATCGAGTAGACTGATTTATTTTCCGTGGCGAGAGGTTCGTGTAGTGTGCTGGATGTTGCTACCATCATTTTCTATCATCATGAATAATTGTGAATTTTCATTTCCGCCTCTTGCAACATACACTACTCACCATTCCTTGAACTGCTGCGGATGAAAAGTAAAATTCTAGTTCTTCGAGTAATTGGCAGCAATCCATTGCCAGCAGCTCCGAATGCGTCGATTCTCCGATCAGTTTTCCAAGCCCAAGGCCCAAGTAAAAAAATTGCGCGCCCCGTCGAATACTCTGCTTGTATCCGACGTGCTTCATCACTTGCTGTTCTCTCAATAATGCAACATTTAACCAATAGTTTGATCCTTCATGCATTGCTTTGAGGTAATTCCAGTCCGAACGTCGATGTTGGACCAAATCTTCTAGAATCTTCATTCTTTGTTGAGCTGTCACCTGTCGAAGTAATTTAGCAGCCTCCGCGGCATCATTTTCTCCATCAGCTCTGTCAGCATTGCTTATGCGTTCCTCCACGTCATCGGCGTTGCTAACGTTGGAGCTTTGAGATGCAAACAGCAGCGATCCAAATGAAGTCGACGCGCTCGCTAATGATGACGTAATACCCGACGTCAATGATCCTGCAACGGAGGCAACGGATCCAAGCGAGTCAACAATAGTAGCGTCAATTGAGTTGGGAGAGCTTGTTTCGGTCTCGCTTTGAGATGTTGTAGAGACGGGAGACGGCATACTTGCAGTTTTCGAGCCAATACTCTTTCCCAGTGGTGTTAAAACACTACGTCCACTCTTGGCAAACTTATTAGCTATAGACCGCGCGGCAGATGAAGCTTTAACAGCGGATGCAGGTAACTTGGAGCCAGAGGAAGAACGACTCACGCCGTTCGAATCGCCCTTGACGGATATCTTATCTGCACTGATGTCAGAGGATCCTTCGTAATCTGGAAGAGCAGAAGGTGGAGGAGGAAGTGCTGCTAGAACTTCCTGCTCGCTCCGGGCAGCGGGGTCAACCTTGGTGGCGTCGTTCATATCTCGTTGTAAGACGATCTATCCAAACTTTACCGAAGCAATGCTTTAGCATAAAACCGTTTCTGATGAAATCAGGCTGAGAATTAGTGCAGTTTCAGGAGTTGATATTGTTATTTTACGAGCAATGATTATTTTTGATACATAAATTGCAAATGTCAGTTTCGACAGTAAAGTAACTTTGTGTTGCCACATGATGCAAGATGTTTAAATTTGTGGCATCTATAACGCTAATTTTAGCACTTAGAATTCTAGTAAATAATGATATCAATGTGAAATCTGTACTATTCTTAAGCAAATTAATTAATCGTCGTCATACAAGCGCTGCGGTATTCAACAAGTAACAAAAATGGACTCCGGGGCCAAGTTGGCTAATGAGCTGCAGCTTGTACAAGAAACATCCCATAGCATCGCCAGGTATGCATGCAAGAAGTGCCGTTGTGTTCTTTTTACAAATGAGGATTTGGACATGCACGAACCGGAGAAGCACCAGATATCAGTTCACAAGAAACTCAAGGATGTCAAGCAGCACGTGAGCGCGCCCATGGCTTGCTCGTCGTACTTTTTAGAGTCTCCACTATCATGGATGGATGAAAAATTGCTGGCTGAGGGCAAGATTCATTGCCCTACGCAAAAGTGCCAGTCGCGCCTGGGCGCCCTTCACTGGTCAGGGTCTCAATGCTCATGTGGCACATGGGTCACGCCCAGTATCAAGATAACTAAGAGTAGGGTGGATTTAGTGCTGAAGCACAGCAATTTAAATATCGTCACGAGTGTCACAGGATTAGATTCTACCGATGCAGTGAAGGCGATATCACCGGTGTCGTAGTGAGCTAAGAAAGCGGTATTTACAATCAATGCGCTCATTTATTTGGCGTGCGTTTACTTCATCTTAACGCCACCTTCTTATCACATCTTATGAGGACAGGTCCCAGTAGTTAACGCAAGCATCATTGCCGACCGAAACGAGCTCTGTCTCAGAAAGAAATTTAACGGCTGTGACTCCATCCTTGTGCGAAAACTCAAATGAGCGCTTTTTCATGGGATTGTTGACATCCCAGACGTAAATACGCTCATCAAGTGATCCACTGGCAATAAAATTGCCGCTTGGTGCCCAGTCCACGCTCGTCACACGCGTCGAATGGTAAACCCACATACCTTGCACCTTTGCAGAGCGCGTTGCAACATCCCACACGCGCACTTCGCGGTACGTGTCACCAGCAGCAAGGTGTGATCCATCCGGTGAAAAAGCCACAGACGTTAGTGCACCCAAGTGTCCAGCAATTTCGCCGCTTTCAACCAAAGAAGCTTTATTTGCCACGTCAAACAAGTGAATCTTCATATCTTCTTGCGATCCGACGGCTACAAGATCTTCAGAAGGTGATATTGCAACACATGTAGGCGTCCAAGAAAACTCAGGAGTCTCGAATATCACCTTCTGGTCTTGCACTAGCTTCAACCCCTTGTTTGTGCTCACCACAGCAAGACCTGATTCTGTGATCGCTACGCCATTCGGCTGTGCGTTTAGTGCAGTGGAGGCAGTGTATTCACAGTCATTGGAGAAGCGAAGTTGATCATCCCAAGCGCAACTGGCAAGCTGGTTCGAATTGGCAGCAATGCCAGTGATCTTTGCCGTATGATGCGTGCCCTCCAGTGCTTTGGCAGTTTTGGACGTCCACGAGCACACAACACCGTCGTAACTTCCCGTTAGTAAACGGTTCTGCGCTGGCTGAGTAGCGAGCGACACAATACTCACCTGGTGGCCTTGCACGATCTGCTTTGGCCTTGAAGGGTTGTTGACGTCGAGGAAATTAAGATCACCCGATAAACTAAGGGAAATGAGATAATTTTGGCACCACGCAACAGCAACTTGCATGTCTTTCACTTGTGGCTTCGTCCCGCCAAGCGTGAACTTGGTGAGGACACTACGAGAGGCAACATCCCATAACAGTACCGTCTTATCAGCCGACGACGTCAGTAGCTGAGAACCATCTGGACTCCAGCACACCGAGTAAATTGATGCTTGATGTTTCGTCGGGAATTTATCTATGAGCTCGCCACTTTTACCATCGTACAGACACATGAGCTTGTCTGAGCCGACGCTGACAGCAAACTCCCCATTGGGTGAGAATCTCACGCAATTGACAAAGTTTGTGTGAAGATTATTATTGTTTTGCTTAAACTTGAATGGCGGTCCTTCGTACACACACACGTTAAAGTCTTCACTGGCCGTCATGATGCGAAATGGGCGCGTTTGGCGATAGTCAACACTCAAAATTCGCTTTTGGTGGCCGACGATCTCGCCAAGACTGTTGCCAGTGTCCCACATGAAGACGCGTGCCATCAATCCTCGGCCATCGCCAACTGCTACAATTCGCTTGCTTTCAGGATCCCACGACAGATCCTTAATCTCTCCTGCAAATACTGGAATCTCCAATTTGAGTGTATGCTCTGGATTATCATACGACCATACACGCACTTTGCCCGATACGTCACCCGATGCTACCCAGTATCCACTTGGGGAAAACTTGGCAACAGTAGTAGGCTCATTATGACCTTTGTACACAAAAGTGTCGGTCGGGTCTTCCAGATTACGTACTATGACGAGCTTGCCACTGCAGTAAATGAGCTTAGGTTCTTTCGGATGGATACTTAAAACACTCGGAGCACCGCGGTTTGTCGTCGGATTTGGACCGACTGTCGCCTGTGAGGAAGTTTAAGAATATAAGGGAAATTAAAAAAAACACCGAATTGAATCGGACAGTTGCCACGTACTTTAAGGGACGGAGGTGGCACCTTTTCCGTGGGGTTTGATGCTGTCGACATCTTGAATTTGAGTTTCAGGGGGATTCAAAAATGAAGTTACGATACGGTGCTGACTGCAGCACTCATGTATACCACATTAGGAATTATCCTTAAGACTTGAAAGCTTTTTAGTAAAATGACAAGTTGGCGCTCAAGCTGGTAATTACAGGCATAATTTTTAAGAACGAGCTTTGATAGCTAATAGAATGACGCACAAAACTTGCTATCACTACTGTCAAAAAAAGAAATTGCACAAAAAGGTCGACAAAGCTGGAGAAATAAAATGAAAGCTAGTTGGACACTGTGCTCACACGACATTAAATTCAATTTGATTATCATACATGCTGCAGGACGAAACAGCTCGCATGACAGGGCACTTAAGCTGTGTTTTTTTCTCTTAGTCTCTGAGTTCGCCATCGATTAAAGCTTACGCTACAAATAAAAACATCATTTTGTGAAGGATATGCATATGCGATGATCGGGGATGTTTTTTTGTGGGAATGTATTTACATGCTTAAGATTGATATATCAAGTCGCGACGCGACCTAACCATAATTAAACCATAATTTTATCGACTGCGTTTGTCTCAATAAGGTGGCGAATATGCATTGAAGATTTGAGGTGTTTTGCACACTGCGTACTCATATAATACCCCTCGCCTTATGGTGAGCAGCTTTTGAATTGACGAGTTTGGGGTAACACCTGATATTATTAAATGCCTTGGAATTTTTATTACCTCTATGATTGTTCACATCAAGTGAATGCGTCAAAATATCTTTGAAAAAACAATAATGCACGTCGATTCATACTACTTTGACGCAGCTGGAGCATATGCTCGGCAAGTTGTTAAGCCTGCAACATCGGTCTTCAGAATCAGCCTTGTAAGACATTGGGCATCAGCAAAATCCACATTTTGTAATTCAGTGTTTGTTACATCTATTTATCCAGTCAACCGTGAGCTTTAAGACATACTTGCAAAGAAAAGGAGGTTGGATTGTTCAAATTAATAATTTTGTCATCAATGCCGGTAATCAGTTTGAAGAATTTTATCATTCACGCCAGCACCCGATTTGTCAGGATGCACTATTTGGCATGAGGTCAAATGATCTATCGAAATAACTCTCCTCGTCCTCTGAATGAGCATATTATATGCAGTATCTAGATATACACAAGTACCAGGTTGAGTTAGCAATATTGTTTTGACAGGAAAAATATCATTCAATACAATACCGGTTCGAACTGATGAGACTTTCATATCATATCGGTATTGACAAACCAGTCAATCGCAACGAGTAAGTCGTGAAACCTTTGTTTCCTCGCCGATATGGGCCGCATTGCCCGACTAGAGTTGGAGAATTTTAAATCCTACGGTGGAAACCATGTCATTGGTCCATTCCAACGTTTTACGGCCGTTATTGGTCCTAATGGAAGTGGTAAAAGCAACCTCATGGATGCGATTTCGTTTGTCTTAGGTGTTCACTCGCGTCAACTGCGTTCGAACCAACTCCGCGATTTAGTGCATAGAGCACCAAGTGATTCTGCTACTACTGATCGTTCAGCATTCGTGACACTTGTGTACGAGCTTTCTACAGACGAGACACCACCTTCCAAGTCTCTGGCGGTGCAAAGTCAACAGAAAGAGGTTCATTTTACGCGTCTCATTTCGGAAAAAGGTGTTGGCTCGTACCGAATTGACAATCAGGACGTAACTTCAGATATTTATCAGAATCAGCTCAAGGAGATTGGTATATTAGTCAAAGCACGCAACTTTTTAGTCTTCCAAGGAGATGTCGAGTCGATTGCAAGTAAAAGTCCCGCTGAGCTCACGAAATTGTTTGAACAAATTTCAATGTCAGATGAGTTAAAAAATGAGTATGAAAGACTTTCAGATGAAAAAGATGTGGCGGAAGAGAGTACGATCTTTGCGTACAAGAGAAAAAAGGGGCTTGTGGCTGAAAAGAGGCTCGTCAAGGAGCAGAAAGAAGAAGCTGAGCAGTTTCGACAGAAATTAGAGGCTCTGGTGCGTTGAGTTGCTGAACAACAAGAAGTTAAGTCATATGGTCGCTAAACTTGGTGTTATGCTGCTTGTAGAATAATCTACGGGTCGAGCACTATTTGTGGCAATTGTTTCAGGTTCATGAGGACATAAAGCAGCGACAGGAAACAATTCAACACTATCAAGAGACTGGACACATCTGTGTGCAGAAAGAAGAGGCTGAAACACAAACGTATCAAGACAAAAAGAAAGAATTGATGGCCAGTCTTCGTGAGGTGAAAATTAATCGTGAGCGTCTTCAGGATGTTCAGAATGAAATGGAAGACATTCAACCACAATTGATTCGACTGCGAGAACAGACGCAATATGGTCAGCGAAAAGTGGTTGACTCGGAGACAACTGAAAAGACTATGAAAAGACGATTAGAAGGAAATGCTGCTGAAATTGAGGCATTGAAGAAAGATCTACAAGAGCTAGAAAGAGCAAAGATCGAGCTTGACGCTTCTCAAACTCGTGAAGCAAGTAAAGGAGAGGAAGGTGTTCTGGTATTCGAAGGTCCGCGTTTAGAGGAGTATCATCGGATCAAAGAAGCAGTACAGGTCAGGACGAACTCGCTACGAAGTGAACTCGAAGCGATTTTACGCCAACAGAATGCAGACAAGAATAAGGTTGACATATTGAATCAAGAGCGTCAGGAGAATCTTAAGATGATTGAAGTGCTTACGGACGATCTGAAACAAGCTGACGAGCGTATCATTAGTATGCAGCGCGTCATTACAGAGACGGAAAGTGATCTAGCTGCAGCAAAAGCGAATGTACAGTCCACTGAAGACGAGAAACGTGTCCAAGCAGAAGAGAAAGTTAAACTGACCAAGCAATTGGAGATCGTGAGCTACAAACTGCGAGATCTCAAGGACGATAAGCGCCAGTCACAGGCTGAGGCGAAGCGTGCTGACACGCTCGAGACTCTGAAGCGGTTATATCCTGGTGTTCGTGGTCGTCTCGTAGATTTGTGCAAGCCAATTCAACGCAAGTATAATATGGCCGTGACGGTAGCGACAGGGAAGCACATGGACGCAATTGTTGTGACGGACTATCGCACTGGTCAAGACTGTATTCAGTACCTTCGTGAGTCACGCGCGGGTAGTGCTCAGTTCATACCACTCGATAAAATTCGAGTTAAGCCCATTAACGAACGCTTTCGCAGCTTGGGAAACAACATCAAAATGGTGATTGACGTAATTAAATGCGACTCGGAGATCGAACCAGCGCTGCATTATGCAGTTGGAGACACTGTTATTTGTGATTCTATTGATGTTGCCCGAGATCTTTGTTTTCGTCAGAACGAAAAGGTAAAGGCTGTGACTTTAAACGGAATGGTTGTGAGTAAGAATGGTAGTATGACTGGAGGAAAGACGCGGAGCGACATGCGACGAGCTGGTCGATGGGATGAAAAGGAGGTGGCGGCCTTGCAGCAAGAAAAAGACGGGCTCATTGATACTTTACGCGCAATGGAGCGCCACGGTGCCTCGTATGCCAAGATACAAACGCTACGCACTTTACTCGAAGGCCTCTCGAGTCGTCTTACTCACGCCAAAGCTGATTTAGTCATCACTGAAACGAAAAAACCTAAGATTCAAGCTCGAATTGATGAAGCGAGAAAGCGACTGGCCGAAATGATTGAGCCTGAGCTCCACAAGTTTGTCGCAGCTGTGGAGTCTCGTAAGGCCACGATTAATGCGCTTCAGGAGCAGATTCACAGTGTAGAAGACGAAATGTTTAACGAGTTTAGCAAAAAGATCGGCGTCGACAGTATACGCGTTTACGAAGAACGAGTGCTTAAGAAACACCAAAAGGCCATTGACATGCGACGCAAAATTACGGAACATGAAGCAAAGCTTCGTGCACAGGTATGTGAATGCTACTTAAGAAAACTTTGGGTATCGGGATAATCAAAAGTGGTTGTTTCCGTGTTGCGTAGATTGAATACTTGCAGTCGCAAGATTTTCACCAACCAATGCTAGCAGCAAAAGAACGAGCCGCTCAAGAAGTGCAGCATTTAAAAGATTTGGCTGAAGAAGAAGCTAGTCTAATGAAAAGAGTTTCTGCATTACGAAAGGAAAGGAAGGAACAAGAGGAAGTGCGTAAGCAGTTGTCGACGAAAGTAGATGATCTAGAGAAGGAGCTGCGCGAGATTAGCAGCAAGAAAGCTCAATACGAGGAGCGGAAGGGCAAAATCCAGCGACGAATCGCAGCAGAAGAGACAGTGTTAGAACGCCTGAAAGATCACAAGACGGAGCTGTTTAAACGTGCCGCGCTGGACCAAGTTCAGCTGCCGACTGTTGTAAGTCGATCTTCGACCGAGGACATTGAGATGGAAGACGTCAGCGGATCCGATAACCATCAAAAGTTGGAGCTTTTACTAGGAGATAAAGCCACAAATCAGGAAGTCGATTTTTCATCTCTACCAGATGCGCATGTTGCAGTGGATGACAAAGAATTTGATGATATCAACGCTGATTACGAAAAACGTATAAGTGTGCTGCATGCAGAGCTCGAGCTGATGCAACCTAATATGCGCGCTCTCGACAAATTCGACGTGATTCAAAGTCGAATCGGAAAAGAAGAAGAGGAACTGGACCGTATCAAGCAACAAGCCTTTACTACTGCGTCCAAGTTTGAAGAAGTGAAACAAGAGCGACACAATCGTTTTATGGAGGCTTTCAACCATATTTCGGGAGTGATTGATGCCACTTATAAGCAATTGACAAGAAGCTCAAAACATCCACTGGGTGGCACGGCGTATTTGAATCTAGAGAATACGGAAGAGCCATATCTGAGCGGCGTGAAGTATAATGCAATGCCGCCAATGAAGCGATTCCGTGAAATGGAAGAATTGTCAGGTGGTGAGAAGACGGTGGCTGCACTCGCTCTGCTTTTCGCAATTCACAATTACCGTCCGTCACCGTTTTTCGTTCTTGACGAAGTTGATGCTGCTTTGGACAATGTAAACGTGAACAAAGTGTCAGCATACATTGCGAGGTGTGATTTTCAATGCGTTGTTATCTCGTTAAAAGACACATTCTACGAAAAAGCCGATGCATTGGTTGGAATCTGCAAAGATATATCATTGCAACAGTCGAAGTCCATGACTTTGGATCTCACCAAATTCGACTAGTGAATTGCATACGAATGATCAATTTATTAACGTTTTTGCTACGTCTGAAGCTTATTTTGCGTGTCTGCAGACTTTTAATGAAACAGGCGCTTTCCATCGAGGACTGCTTTTTGTTGATTGTGTCCCTCTACTGCTCCAAAACGCGTCTTTGACGAGTAATCTGCTTCCTTTCGCACAAGTTCTTGAAGTCGTTGATCAGCAGCTGCTTGAGTTCGGGAAAGTTTGCCATAGCGATGCTCTTCACAAAGCAAGAAGCTTTCGGCCAGGTGGATGTTAAAAGGCACGTCCAGCGTCACATGGCCGGGTGTAATCGAAGTGGAATCCAGCAATATCCACAAATCCTCTTCTTCCGGCATTTCATGAGTCCAAATCATGGACATGCTGTGATCTAAGCCACCAATCGTTGAAAAGGGATTCCTTCGAGGTAATCGAACTCCATCCATCGCCGCAGTTGCTACGTGACTTTTGCTAACAAAGTCCAAATCACTGGTCATTTTCAAAATGTAGTTGGTATTACGCCATTGAAATGGACGAAGTTGAGTCAAATGACGTCGCCACCCAGCAATGGCTGCCACTGTAGCCAGCGACAAGTCTCGAACCTGCAAAAGAGCTTCCAGTAATTCAACACTTGAATCGTCTTTAAATGAGCAACAACACCGCAACAGCTTGTCGAGTCCGGCTTCTCGTGCCACTATCGCTTTGAGCACGACCAGCTCCTCTTCAGAATGCAATCCTTCATACGACAAAGCCTTAGTACTCGAAGGTTTCATTAATACGCCCTGAAGGTCCTATTATCGCTGGCAAATGGTCAATGTCAAAGCTTTATTTAGATTAATTCGCAGCAACTGATGACTAGACTCGTATTTATTTGTCTTGTTTAGCAGCTCGACGTCGGATTTCGTCCCACGTCGTCGATTTCACTGGAGTATCCTTTTCGTTGGGCAAACCAAAAAAGTAGTCGTCTTCATCATGGCGCAATGTTGACGAATTCTTGTCGGAGTATGGGTGGTGTGTGTTCCGTGAGTAAGGCATATTTGGATCATGAGACATTGAGAGATCATAGTCTTCAGCTTTATCCGATTTCATTCCAAAAAAAAATGGTGAGCGGCTTTTCATGTGATCATCTTCTTTGAATGTCTCAAGGTCTTCATCGTATTTATTTTTCTTGTTGCGAAGAGTATCGAGACCAGATATTGGGGGAATGCTAGTTGAGTTTTCGATATTATTATGGCGAGAAAGACTTGCTGACTGAAAGTCAGAGCCCTCAGCCACAGTTGATCCTTCGTCCCACGAATCACTTCATCACAAAGTGTAGAAAAATTAGCACCTATAATCCACGAAAACTTGAGAAACTTGGAACGTACACAGCTGCCGCTGAACGTTTGAACCTGTCGTGAAGCTCCTGCACGAATGGATTATCGGGAATTTTGGTCTGTAGACTAGCATAATAATGAAAATAGTAAGAAGTGAGAATAACGAGTTCGTGATTATTCCTATTTCGACTCACATGGTCCTCGCTCGAGCTGCAAACGGTGACTTGTCTGATGGCAGTATCAGAAGGTCTGAGAACAGATCGCGACGGATACTGATGATGCCATACGAAGCTCCAAAGAAACCTCCAGCTGAATAAACAATCTCATTCAGAGAATACTATGATCCAATTGAAGTTGAATGTTTTCGACTCACAAATCATTGCGAACGCACCCACCACTTTCTTTCGATTTTTGGACAATATCCATAATCCTGCCATGATCGACGAACCAAAAGTGAAACCTAAGACACCACGGCGCCGGCCTATGTTTGCATATTGGGCTAAAAGCTCTTTTTCCGCCTCCGTCCTGTGGATTTATGGCTAGTATGACATTTTAAACTGAACGTATCACGAAGCAACATACTTGCCGATGTGAGATACACTTTTATCGTTTGCCAATTCCTTGCTCAGCGTGTGAATGGCATCGTCCATAGGCGCTGTCGATAGCATCTTCTCGAATCTTTATCGTTGAAATTGCGATATAATTGAATAGAAGAAAATTGAAATATCATACAACAAAATTTACAATAGATTTTAAATGAGATCTCACTTGATTATTATAATGCCTTCGTCTATCAATCGCTTTGTGATTTGATTTTCAACGTATGCAACGAGCTCAGGAATATGATCAGGTAGTTGACATGAAACGAAACATTGTCGTCCAGTGCGTCTCGTAAGTTTTTGTGCAATCTGTTGTTCCTCCATCTCCGGAGCCCCCAAGATAGACGTTATGAGCGGCATGGGACTATAGCGCGTTGTTATGGCAGTTGACAGCGATCTACAGAAGAGTGTCAGATATCAAATCAATTCTAAATATCCTTTGCTTTTGAAGTTTACCCTAAGCAAGGCTTGTCCGTTGCCGGACCCATCCACACAAAGATACAATGGGTTAATAGCCACATCTGCACAATGTAGCTTTGGTCCAAAAGCGTCCCTGACATGTCAATAATTCGTATCCCTCCATTTTCATGTAGCTGAAGTTGCTGCAACTCAGTATCGATAGTGGCTATACCATTAAACAAGTGCACAAATGAGCAAAATATATTGCAATCTAAGCGAAAGATAAGCGTCACCTACGCTCCATCATGCAGTTGACAATTTTTAGAGTAGACAACATGAAAATTATTTTCAAAAATTTCGAAAAGTCAAAATGTTGGCGGACGCGAGTTTGGAGGAGCTAGAGACTCGGCTTGTAACGTTCACAGAGCAACTGCAGAATATTCACGAGCTGCTACAAAGTGATCCAACAAATGTTGAGTTTCTTAGCATTGCTAAGGATCTCGTAGAGGTCATACAGTTGACTAAGGAGACGGTGCGACGATTGCAGAGGGGTTTGTTACCTTTATAGCTAATCTGCTGCGATATAATAAATGTAGATTGATCTTAAGGTCAACGCTGCAACTTCCAATGAATCAGTGAGTCTTGAGACGCCTCACGAGCAATACCAAGAGAAGCTACAAGTTGGTACGTTATCATTCTAAAGACAAATAGGAAGAATTCTAATGCTGTATGTAATATTAATCATAATTCAGAACTAAAGTTCATGCCAGGTTCAATGGTTGAGGCTATACAGCAAGATGTTTGGTATCCAGCTTATGTTAACTCAGTGACAAGTGATAATGACTACAATCTAACGTTTTTGGGCTTTGGAACAACTGCAAAATGGAAAGAAGATGCTTTGAGAGCCATTGAAGTTGATGTCGAGCAGGCTGCGAAGCTGCCGCCTAAAGAAGACATTGTAGAAGGAATGAAATGTCAAGCCAAGTACTATGTTGACGCTGTGATATATCCTTGTTCGATCACAAAAGTCACTGAATTAGGTTTCCAAGTACTATTTGATGGCTATGGCAACTCGGAAGAGGTGCCGTATGAGTATTTGAGACCAGCAGCAGCACCGCTAGAAGCGGAGGTAAGCACTGCTGCTGCCGAAAATAGCATTACTAACACAGTTGATGGTGCTCCTGCAAATGGTGATACTGCAACAGCGCCAAAAGTGGCTCCTGCGGTGATTCACAAGCCTATTAAAATACCTGAGAATCTGCAAATTCTGCCGACCGATACGGAAGCGGAGAAGGAACGCAAGCGTAAACGCCTGCGAGCTATCAAAAGCCTGAATCGACACAAAAATATTGACAATGAGCGCAATATCAAACAGCACGATTGGAAGGCCTTTCAGTACAAAGCAAAGAAAAAAGGCTTGAGGAAAGGCGTGAGTGGTGTTCTGTCAAAGCGTGGCTCAAGTATGTTTGCATCGCCCGATACCGTGCAGGGTCGTGTGGGTGTTGTAGGTAGTGGTCAGGGCATGACTGACTTCCAGGATACACGGATCAAGAAATTCAAACAAGCTTAGAGTGCAAACAAATCTTCTGATGAATTTTTCTGCATCTTTTGTTAACGAAAAGTAAAAACGTGAACCAAATGAACTCAAACGAGGAGCAAAGATTACGTATGGGTAGTTATATCTTGCTTTCAACTCAGACTGTAAAGTATTTTGTTGTGAAAATCGGCCGCTAAATGAGATGCTTGGGTGCCTTCTACTTACTTCTTCTCAATTTGCTGGATAGAGCTTGTGATCTGCTTGACGACGAACAAGAATGCGAGATACAGAGAGCTATCTACCATCTGCAGTGTAGATTTTGTCAATTCTAGTGTCACAATAAATGGCCTTGCACCTTGCACAGAGGAAGCTTAGACTAAAAAAGTCACTAACAACAACAAATAGGATGACTTAAAGGCCGACCATAGAATACTTCGGATCTACTTTGCATGTTTTGTGTGACAGGAATTTAAAATGTAACTAGTAAGTTTTGTCGAAACACGCGTCAAACTAGAACGTTGCTTGATGCTTGACTTTGCAAAGTACATTGTGTGATGTCGACTTCAAATCAGTAACGCTCGTACCCATGATACCGGTGATACAGCCACCGGTCAAGTCTTCATCTAGAATAGGCCGGACGTTTACTGAATTTGGAAGCGCGTTGCACTCAAGAAACTTTACTTTTTGAAAGAAGCGATTGAAGTTGGTGTGCCAACTTCTTCGCATCGACGAAGTCAGGGTAAATTTGCACTACGACATTAACTTAAGTAGTCATCACTATTGTCCATATAACTATAAATATTCACAATTATCACAAGAATGCAAGTAGAACTTTTGTCGAATTAGACAATATTGTAGTAACAGAAATAGTACACGACTTATCCTGTTACGCAACAAATGTGGTACAAGCATAGTAATCATCTCTCCATGATTACTATATTTCATTCTATCATTCTACGGAAGCTGCAGCTGCCAGCGATCTTGGCGTCTTGGTCGCATTGTCGCAGACTCTGAGGTGTGAACTAAAAGATAGAGCGAGGGACAAGCGCAAAGGTCCATTTTAGTACGTACGAAACGGTTCAAAAGCATGGCATACCTTTGCTTACTGAAGTTGTATCATCAAATCGGACGAAGTTGAAAAAAATACCACAAGGTATTATTCTATATTTATCACTTTGTGATATACCTGTCTGTCTGTACTTGATCTTTTTCATACAAAAAGGTACTTGCAAGTATTACAAAAGCAGCCTTTCTTAATGCTATTCTTCGATTCCTTAACTTATACGCTAGAAATAGAAGATGAACGGTCTACAACGCGTGACTTTGTATCCCACGTCGCAGTCTGCAATCTGCGATCAAGGAGGTACGAAAAATGAACCAATTGGACGCAATAGCAACTGTTGCATACTCTGATGAGAACATTGTTGTCAAAAGTGTGGAAAATAATTGCACTCATGACTGCAACAAGCAAATGCAAGAAGTATCAATTGGCAATAATTGTGACTCGATCATTCCTTATGACGGGTTCGAAGAATCGAGCAACTTGTGTTCAATGCCGTCAACGTGCTTAGAGCCAAATGATCCTGAAGAAGATGTGCAATCGCCTATTCTTTGCAAATCAGTATCAAGTCGAAGCCCATTAACATGTAGCGAGAAGAAACAACGAGCGCCATCGTGGACAATCCATGACGTGCAAGAGTATTACGCTATGCTTGAGTTGCTGCAAGACACATGCTATGACTCAAAAGATCGTGACATTTGTCTTTCAATGGACACACTTGGCCACATGGAACAATTGCTCATGTTGCTTATGCCACAACAGTCTCTTTTGTAGTAAGAAACACTTTTTTTAATATTAGATCTTTTTTCCACTCTGTAACTTTACCTTATTTTTAACGAAAGTGATACGTTGCAAGTTTCTTTTCATCACATTGTGGTTGCAACTCATGCAACGTACCATGTTTGTCGGTACAATACATCTCAACATCTTCTGGTCGATACACTGTACCATTCTCTTTCTCAATTCGAGGATCTTGACACATACTGGAACCTCCAACGTTTCGTATCGTAGCTTTTTGATTGCCATGAATTTCAAGTTTCGTCTTGTGTAATGGAGATACTTTTGAGTTGATTGGACCATTTGAAAGACTTGAGAATTCCTTGAGTTTAAACGAAGAAATGGGAAGACATGACTCGGATCGCTTGGAATTTCTTTTGGAGGACAATGTACATATCAAATCATGACATTTCAATGTAGTACGTGCAAGTTCCATCTCCAAAGTATCAGAAATTCGATCTTTTGACTCAAATGTAAAAATGATCTTGAAAGTGATTTCCAATGCTATAGGATTGGAAGAATGAACGATATTCGCATTAGAACCAGTGGAAGGTTCAGTTATCCAAAATGTATAGACGTGATCTCCTGGAAGTAATGCAATGTACTGCATAAGATCAAGAGAAGATTGACTGTCAAATAGAACAGCTTCGGATATTTGAACTTGTTGTATATCCATTGGATCACAAACACGAACCATAAGAATTCCTCGACCTTGAATCCTTTCAACAAGTAATTGTTCAAATGAAGGAATAACAAAAACAAGAGGTACACTTGAAAGTGTTAACTTGCGTGTTTCTTGACGAAAAAAACGTAAGATGTTTTCATTTCGACTTGTCGGAAGTTGTACATCTTGCTCACTCTTGTCATTTACTTGGATAAATGACAAACCATCGTTCTTTGAGACTTGTAATGATGATGATGCCATATTAGCAAACATACTCACTCGTTTTGAAGGTGTACCAATCAAATCAACATCATTTACTGATCGTCGACGACTAAAACCATCAAATGTTGATGTTGTACTTGGCCATAAAAGTGCTTCTCCTGCTGGTAAAGATTGAAATAATTCTTCATATAGATCAAAGTAGATCGCATCGTTCTTAAATGCTTGTTCATCCACATTACGTTGACGTACTAATTTTTTGGTACGGTACCAATCCAATATCATTTCAAAATGTTGCGGGTTGCGATCAATATAAAACGCATCATCAAGGCAACTACTTTTGCCACAGTTGCATGCAATAATCTGATTCAATCGTTTAAGTGGATATTTCGCAATTAAACTCTCTTTGCAACGAAAAAGTTTCCCACCCACGTCAAATGCAACAATTCGTGTCGGGTTTTTTGCCAGAACATTTCGAAGATCCGAGACACTCTTTGAATGCCACGGAACTCGTGTACGTCCAACTGTATGGTCAACTTGGATTTCTTGACTTGTAGCACGTACAAGAACTGGTAGTACACTATGCATTGAGCTCAACGTGACAGAGTGCGTATCGATCATGTCGTGATGAATCTCGCTTTGTCGAGGATCAAGAACTGGATTGATAAAGATCGAGAGCTTTCCATCAGTGTTACTACTTGAATTGTGCTCCGACAATACATTCACTGAATGATTGTCGTCGTGAACTTGTAATATACTTGTCTTGCTATTCTCTTGGCTTGCCATGAAGATTAAAGTTATGATATGATCTCTCTGCCTCTCCATTCACATTGTAAGACGATTGGACCGCAATATTATTGTTCTGTGCCATAAAGTATTGTGAAAGGTCGTACAACGTGGGTACCGATTGGCCAAAGTCAAAGCCTGACGTCTTCCGATGCACACTGTATCTTATACCGAGTGGGTACGAAAATTGGGGGTATCGTGGCACATTCGAACGACATTCATAAC